GCCGCCGCCGCCACCGCCGCCACTGATTGCAACTCTCACTTCCTGCTCTCCGCGTCCTGCTTGCTACAAAACAGGGCTGGTACTAGGACTAGGTCTAGGTCTGGGTTCGGCTTTCGTTTTGACGGTATGTTTTTCTCTACATGAGGCTCGTTTCACTGTGGTTTCGCCGGAATTTTAGCCAGGGTACGCTCTATTGGTCCAAGGGAGCGAGGAGTTCTGATTCAATTTTTGAGTTGCCCTAGTCGTCGGGGGTACGCCCAGTTTGTTGACGTGCGTGAGGAATTCTACATGTAAATTTGGGTCCAGAATTGTTGTTTTTTGGGTTAGGGCTTAGGAATGCGTGTTCACACTATACTTGGACATCTAACAGGCATGAAGTGCTTCATATGTCCCTCCGACGCACAAATGTGCCCTTGCGCGCTATTTCTTGGATTTGTAACAAGCAGCAAAGGCGTGACACTTGCCTGCGACACATTGAAATGGCCTGTTACATTTTGTTTGGACGTGTAACAGGCAGCAATTGCGAGACAGTTGCCTCCGAGTGTGCTTTCACACCTTGTTTGGAAGTGTTACAGGCAGGAAATGCAAGACAGGTGCATCCGATGCATGGAAATGTACCTTTTCTAAGCTTATGACGGCTTGAAAGGAGGCAGGGATTGCGCGACAGTTGCCTTCAACGGTTCAGAACTATGGTTTCACACGATGACTATAGAACATGGTACAGGTTCTCATGTTCACAGAAGGCAGGAGGGTTGGGTCAGCGCAGCCCCACTCGACAGACCGTTGAAAACTGTGGCAGTTGCAGATGAGGAGTCCACTTTTGGGACATGATACGCAAGCATTTCAGCATGTTTAAAAAGAGCGGGAGGGTTGCACAGCGCTTCGCAAGCCACTGATGAATGCGGCCCTTCCACTTACAAGCCAGTGAAAAAATGCAGCAGTTATTAATGAGGCTTCACCATTTTTTGGGAGCGAGGGGAGGGTGCAGACCATTCCTCGATGGCAGCTGTTAATGAATCAATGAGGATTCACTGATTCGACATAATATGAGCTCTTAAGATAACGGCGGGTGGCAAGGCGCAGACCACCACTTACTGTTTCCATCTGGTCTCCATGTTCAGCCAGACTGGCAGGCAAGGCAACTTAGTGCTTCTGACTGAGCTGCCACACCCACATTAGACTAATTGGATCGACCACCTCCACCATGACCACACGAGAATGTTCAGCCAACTGATTGTGGTGAACATCATGCCATACGGGGAGGTATCCCTGCGCAGTGATGTAACTCACCAGGATATGCTAACAAAGGACATCACAATGTATAGCCAACTGCGATATTAGCTGCGTCAATCCCTGTCGCGTTACCTCCATGCCCAAGTCATACTGCATGAACCCATGTTCCCGTTGCACCCATAAGATCTTGTAGGAGCCAACGTAAGCAGAACTACATTTTCGAATCAAGTACACAGTCTGTAGCCACGCAACCTCATGCTTTAAATAAGCATCCCAACAACACCAAGCCGAGGCATACTGGATAGTGTGACTGAGATGATTTTGCTGTAAAAAGGAGTCCCTGACTGCGCGCCATGCATCTCTGTTGGAAGCCCATTCTGTCAGTTGTATGTCAATTCATTGCAAACTAGCTGAACATTGAATAACGTGGCAGTTGCTGGCATGGATTCACTATTAGACATGACACGATGTTTCAAATAGCAGGGGGGGGCTGCGGGGGGCGCAGCCCCCACACCTGCAAACCACACACCGGAATGTAGTAGTTGCTTTTGAGGCTGTACCATTAAAAATGGTACAGGTACAAGGCCAACAAAAGCGTTGTCCAACAATAACACATGGGGAAAGCAGAAAGCTAAATCAAAAAACAGCCTGCAAGCGGCAGACAAAAGAGCAGACAAAAAACAGGAAGCACAAAGCCGGAAGCCAAAGACAGAAGGCGAAAGGCAAACAGCATGCAACAAGCAACACGCAGAAAGCAAGAAAACAAGGCGAAAGGCAGAAAGCTGAAGGCGAAAAGCGAAAAGCCAAGAGCAGAAGGCAAACGGCTAAAAAACAGCAGCAGACGGAAAAAAAACAACCACCAGCAAGGAGCATCCTGCAAACGATAGGCAGCAGGCAGAAAGCAAGAGAAACGCCACACCACAGAAACAAAAAAAATGTAATAATGTTAACCTGCCAATAGCAACCCCACTACAAGAGCAATATTCCAAATTACATTACTAGAATACTTGCCTAACAGCATGCAGTAATGCAGGGGCAAGAAGCAGACTGCAAAAGTTACAGACGGGCACTTCAGCAGGCCCGAAAACTTGCAGAACTGCAGCAACTAAGGACTCACAATGCCTAAGGACGACGACAAACTGGCGGAACTGCAGCAGAAGTGGAGCCGATTTCAGACTAGCAGTGCTCAAAGCAGATCTAAACGATGCTGGAAGAACTGCGGCAGAGTTGCAGCAAACTAGAGACCTGCAGCGTTTAAAAACGATTTTGAAAAGCTAGCAGAACGCAGCAGAATTGCAGAAGACTAGACACTCGCAATGCTTAAGCAAAGCTAAAACGCAGCAGAGTTGCAGCAAAACTGAAAAACTAGGGGCTTGCAATGCTTATGCAAACTGAAAACCAGCAAAGCCAGTGCAAAACTGCAACAAGCCAGAGACTGGCAACGCTTAAGCAATAGTTGAATTACGCAGGGTCCAGAAGAATTGCAACGAACTGAAAAATAGTAGTGTCACAGCAGAGCCTAAAGCTTGCTGAACTGTCAGAAGGCTGGAGACTGCAGAAATCTTCCAGGATTCCAGCACTAGGAATTTCAGGAGATTTGAAATGCTCGTTTCCTATCACATCTCCACTAGCAAAGGACACAATGTCAATCAATCCAACATCTGTCCTTGTAGACGTCTTGGGCTTTCATGTAGAACCACAGCTCCAACCAGGTCAGGAAAGCTGCTGCTGCTGTTGCTGTAGCCTCCCTAGACCACCCCTTGTGATTGCTCTTCCTCTCAGAGCTGACCATTAGAACTAGAACATCTTCAGCCATGGTTGACTAGTAACTAGCTGACTGCCGTGCCTTGGGGTGAATATGCAAAAAATTGAAGCAGTGCTGCAACTGAGAGAGGTGGGTTGAGGTTGGGGAATGAGAAAATACTGATGCTAATAAGTACGAATAGCCATGCCCATGCTAAAAATACCTGCGCTCATAGGGTATGCTAATATCAATATTAATACTGTATTAATACTCATATTGATACGCATGCTAAAGCCCATACTCGCTACTATTCATATGAATGCTCATACTAATGTAAATACGCATGCATCGCACCACTCTACTCATACTAGTACCTTTATTGATAATACTCATACTCATACTAATACTCATACTACTGCTACAGTAGTACTCATACTAAAACTCGTATCCATACTAAAACTAATACTCATGCTAATACCAATACTTATGCTCGTTCCCAGTGTCAATACGTATGTTAACATTAGTATACTCATATTGAAACTCGTGCTAATCCGGTACTCAATACCAAAATTTGTGTTCATAGTAGCACTAACTCGAATACAAATACTAATATTCATAATACAGATATTAATACTAATTTTCTTGCTCATACTAATTCTAACGAATTAATACTCCTAGAAATACTCATACTAAGCTAGTATGAGTACTAGGCATACTCATACTCGTAGTACTAATACAAGTACGAAAAGTAATATTAAGCAAACTCGTAATCGTACCATGTTGCACTACTACTCCTACAAATGCTGAGGCTGCTAAGGCTCATGCTAATTTCACAACTGATATGGTCTAATGCTAGTACTAACATTAGACAAACAGCCGAACAACCGAAGAGCATTGTTGCGCAGACTCTGCGAAAAAACAAATATCTATCAATGGGGGGCAGAGGGGGTTCGTTATTGCCAGGTCAAGATTAAGAAGGATGCATTGAAATGTTGAGTCACCAGTCCAGGACACGCCCCATTAGTCCAAGAGTGTGAGAAGCTTTGATTCAAATTTTGAGTGCTCAGATCTGCCACGCAACGCTGCTGCTGCACCTCCAGTCTGTGGCCAGTTTTTGACCTGCGCTGTAGCGGTGCTTCTTTTGCTTGCTTGAACAGCGGCCCCATGGCGCACCCTCTGCGCTTGAGCTGCAAAGGTTTTGGAAAACCGGAATGGCATCAAATGCCATGGAAGGTCAAACCGAGCCCAAAATAGATTAATATAGATTAATCTTCCGCCCTGGCAACACATGATGACACACACACCATGGTTTTCTCTCCTCCATACCCTGACCGTCAGGAACGTAAACCCCACATTCTACTCCTCCTCCTCCACCTGCTGCTGCTGCCGCTGCCGCTGCTATTGCTGCCGTCTTAAGCTTGGGCTGCTATTCCTTTGCAACTGCAACAACAAGCACGACTCATTCGGCATCAGAACCTCGCCTCCCGAGCTGCCGCTGCAGAGGAGACTTTTGATAGTGCCCCCTTCACATCTGAGGGAAAGCGGTAGACGAGCTCACCTTTTCTTTAGAAGGCGAGCGAGTTGTGGTTCGGGATTAGGGGAAATGCAATTAAAAGATTGCATAAAGATCTTCGGCACATGACCTCAATTTTGGCGCATGCACCCTGCCACTGCCCCAACCAAAGTTTTGACGCCCACCTGTTTTGGAGACCTCAAGCTCGGCTTCTGCTCCTAATGCGCCAGCGAGCTCCACAACTCCTTTTCGCGCCTCACAGAGCCACACTCATTTGTTTGCTCAAGCATCATTGGCACCACTACCAAAGTCCCCAGCTCAGCGCCTCAGCCAAGCTCAAACCGCCGGCAGCGGCAACGTCAGATGCCGTTACTCGCGATCCTGCTCTTGAAACTGCCTTCCAGGGGATTGTTGCACTACGAGCATGCAGCTGGAATCAGATCATCGGAAGTGCGGACTTTCATGGATGCATGGACAGCCTCCACCACTTTCTCTGGAGGAAGCTGGAAGGCCTGCTCTTGCATGTCAGTCTTCCACAGCAAGCCAAACAACCGGAAACCTTTCCGCCTTGCTTTCAACAAATTCAAGCAAGCTACCCAAAGCAACGTTGCAGATGAAAAACTCCTCCTATTCGCTCAGCTATTGCCTCCCCAAAGTTTGCAGCTGCAGCCCGGAGTGGAATTCGCGATGCAGATCTTGCATCACCACCTCGCACTTAGCACACTGGGGGAAGCATGCGGTGTGTTCTGCATTTGCCTGCTTGATGAAGGACGCATCTGCCCGCAACCAGGAACACCAGCGGCTGACAAGCCAAGCAAAGAATTGCCAGCGAACATGCCTCGGTGAGTACATGCGGCATGTTGGGACAGAATTCAGCTGCGTTGACAATACCTTTCCAGATCTGTGCCTTCAAGCTTTCATGTGTCAGAAAAGTCACGGCAGCCGGCACGCCACGCTTTCGAAGCATGTGATGTGTCGGCATGGACCCTAACATGCTTGGTTCCAGGACTTGTGCGAAAGCATACTGTGCCTGAAAAAAATGAGCACAAGTCTCAACGAGTCCGTCCGAAGTCTTGTGGCTTAGGTATTGAACTCTGCTTTTGTCAATCAGCTCTTGACTTCTGATGCACAGCCGAAAGGACCAGTACACGAAACCTGCAAAGTATCACGACAATGCGGGCAACTTTGCCACAAGCTCTGGTGATTTCAATTGAAGGCCTGCCAGCCTCTGTGACTCTTCTTCAGGGACCTGTTGGGTGGCTGGACGCGAGTAATAGTACCGCCTATGCCAAGGGGGATGCCTGCGCGTATCGATAATCATCTGTTGCCATCGGAGGCGATCCATTGGCGGCGGGGCCAGAACCACCTGCCAACCATGGATGAAATCGCTAAGTGCGCAGCGTGTGAACTCAGCAACAAAGCAAGTGCCTTTCCGACTCCAACTCATGGCTCGTCGGCGTATGAAAGCCAATAAGCTAAATTGAAAGCACACCTGCGATCCTTGCTGTCTTGCTGGCTCGTCGTCAGGAGCACGCATCCATTTTTCTGGTCAAGTTGCGTGTTATGTGAGCCTGACAGCTATGTGACAACTGCGCGGCTTCTCTCCCCAGAAAGCCTTGTATGACCATTTGCCTTTCATAAGCTGAGCCTGAAACCACAGGAGAGCACCAACGCTACAGTAGCAAACAAAATGACACCCAATGGCTTGCAGGGAATCTAGCATGCCGTGCCCACGCAATTCCTGTAACAAACAAGACAAGTACGATTTTGATCTCCAGCACCAGTGGCAAACCAGAACAGGTCGGCGCGTCTCAGGGCTTGATAATGCGCACCCTGGGATGAGCGGTTCGCACAGATTCAAGCATCCTGCAACATCTTGCAACCACATAGCGCCAGGTTTTCAAGGGATACGGATCTCAAGATATTGCTAATGCTTTCGATACAAAATGAAGACCCCAAAAAAGGCTAATTCCAACTCCTGCAAGGTCCAGGATCTGGAGACTGTTGATTAACTGAGCCGTGGACACTTCCAGCTCGTAATACAGCGTTGAGCCGGCTTCCACCTCAGTGTTCATCGGGTTGAACAGTAGTCCCTCCACAAGTATGGACGTGTGTGCGCTCGTGTCGCAGTTGTTTCATAAGTCTTGCAGCGGTTTTGATTCGGGCGAGACTGGGCCAGCAACCTTTTTGATGTCGGCGCCCTCGTCTGCATCAAAGGCGGCCTTTCCCTCACCTGAAAGGCTCGCGATCGAACTGTCAATGGCTGCTGCATGGCTTCATGAATTTCCTCACCCCAGGGTAGCGGATGAACGTGTCCCCTGTCAATCTATGCTTGGACACATGTTCGAGAAGATGGACGTAAACGTGGCTCTCCAAATCAAAGTGTGTCTCCCGCACTCTGAGGATGATGCCATAGCTCAAGCTGGGAGGGCACACAGCACGGCCTGCATCGTTGAGAGGGACAGAGCACACTCTCCTTTCTGAGCAAGGAACCTAGCAGATTAGTGAGGGGCAGATCTGCTAGCCCAGTACTTGAACTCGACATGACCCTCACCTTTTGCTCCAACCTTCATGAGCTTTACAGCCTGGGTGAAGAAACTGCAAGGCACAGGTGATCAGATGTGAGGATGTGATGCATAACAAGAGAACAAGGCAGGAGGACAGCAGAGCCCTTGGGGCAGTACTTCGAAGACGCAGTTAGGGAGCGACGGATCCTGAGCTGCAAGTCACTGAACACTCGCAAAATCTCAACACCTCAGCCTGAGGTGCAGTCGACGTTTAGTCGGCATTCTATGAAGTCCACCTTGTTGGGCTTGCGCCTCGGCGTGCTACCGAGCAAAAGACAGACGACTGCAAACCAGCCTGGGGCCCAAACGAGCCTCTGAGCGCAGATGAATCTATCACAGGGCCATCAAAGCCGTTGATGTGAGCTGTATACCTTCGTTTCTAGACAACTGGCAAAACATGTACAAGTTTGAGTCTAAGCCAAGTGGCTTCAGCAACAAATTCGCACCAGCACGTGGAGGCCCGTTTCTTGGGCCTGTCTCAGATGTACCTGTGCAGCTCAGTGCTTGAGGAAGGGCCAAACCGCGGAATGCCAAGCTGCAGGCCCAGCTCCAGTGGCTCATAAACCACACCATTCGGAGTCGTCACCTGGCCCGCTGAGAATCAGCCCAGAGCGGAAAGTGCGATGCCCCCGGCCTTCTGGCCAACAGCACTCGCCACAAGGTCCGTTGGGATGGAACCAGGAGGAACCTGAAGGTGAAGCTATCAGCATACCGCCGGCGACCAACCAATATGCCGCGAATCGCAAGCCTTGTCCTCGGCAAAGGCTGCCTGCGGCATGCTCAGCCTGGACCACAAGTAGTGCTGAGGGGCTCATGACCGCATCGCTACTAGCAGACGCGTCACACAGGCCACCATAGACCCCAAGAAAATCACCAGGTGATGCAAAAGCTCTCCAAAAGCTGATGCAATTAGATTCTGCTTGAAAACCTTTTAAGGCTGAAGTCATGTATGCTCACCAAAAAACGCCACAGTCACAAGCATCACGAGCTCGCGGCGCAGCAAGGGATGCAGTCAGAACGCCCCTGCGGTCCATGGCTGTTGATCGCCTCAGTAAGGCTCACCTAAAACGTAAGAATTTCGCCTCCCCTGGGGCTGGCACTCGTTCGTCAAAACGAGCCATGCCGCATGATTCCTGCAGCTTCAGATGGCCACAACAATCAGGATGTTCACCCTCACCCGAATTTCCCCACTGCACAAGCCAAGCAAACCAAACACACGAATGGCCAAGTCTGAGCTCAGCATCTGCACTTCAGGCAAGCTGCAAACTCATCCAGCCAACCTCGCTTGCAAGACAGAGGTGATCATGGGCCCTTAGCCGGGGTGGGGCATCCTTTTCCTAGAGTCCATGACCGTTTGAGTTCCCAACATCCTTGTATGGAAAGTGCACACCACAGCCAGGCGAATATCATAAATTGACTCGCAGCAACTTAGGGTCTTGCTCATTGAGCTGAGGATACCGGGAAGCTACAAACGCGGTGCCAAAGGATCCAGCCAGGTCAAACGAGCCCCTACAACTGATTGAAGAGTCTTGCAGCGCTTGTTTGGCGCCCCTGAAAAAACATCATAGTTGCAAGCACGCTCTTTCAATGTGCCACTGGCCCTACCATATGGAATACACAGCATGATGGGGCAGACCCGACTCATCGACACGCGTGCTTACCACGCCCCAGCCCTGGAGTTCCACGAGCAAGGCGGACAATACTTTTCTCCCAACATCTGTTGTCACGGCAGGCCCTCATCATTCACCTCAAACTTCCAAGTTGTCTCGCCCGTTTCATTTACCCGAAGACGAAGGATATGGGTGTGAAATCTTTGCAGCGATGGTCGGTGAGTGATAGATACCACACTCATTGCAGCAGTGCTCGGGGCATCCACCTGCAGTTCTTGGTAAAGAGCTTCCTCTGTCGGCTCATCCAAAGCTGATGTGGCTTCGTCCAGGACAGCCAGCTTCGGGCGTAGGAGTAGCAATCTACAAAACGCACATCTCTGCCGCTCGCCGCGGGAAAGCACAGCCTCCCAATCTGCACATGCATCCAAATCCTCATATCGAGCAATGACATCATCCAGGCAGGAGCGGTGAGCCGCCGCTAGAATGTCTTCATCACTGAAGACTTCTGAAGGGAAGGATAGCACGCGACGCAAGGAGCCCTCGGGCATGTACGGATCTTGCGGAAGAAAAACGACGGGGCTCACGTGTCGTAGGCTTCCAGAGCCTCCCGCCCACAAACCTGCCAATGCACGAATTAAGGTAGTCTTGCCGGCTCCAGAGGGCCCAAATACCACCAGCCTCTCTCCCGGCCTCAGTTCAAAGGAAAGTTGCCTGTAGAGAAAAGATCCATCGGGCAAATTGAGAGACAGATCATCGACTGCCACCGCTTCAGATTGGCTTTCCTCTGGTGCTGGCAGTGGCTGCTGTGCACGTGTCAGAGCTGCAGACAAAGCCTGCACCAAGCCTTCGAGGCGGCTCCCCTCTGCAATCAGTGCAGACACAGAGCGGAACTTGCGAACGACCACAGTCAGGGCACCAAGTGACACTTGAAACGCCATGATGGCCTGAGGCACCGTCCCAAAAGGCACCTTGTCCTGAAGCCACAAGGGAGCCACAATCGCGACTGGCAGCAGATAGGCAGCCCAGCTAAAGCATTCTCGGAAGGTTCCGAGACTTGTCCTCCAGAATGCCCTTGCCCACTGCTGTTGCTGCAAACTGCTGTACCGGCCTCGTGCTTCTCTGCCTCGTCTATCAATCAAGCTAATTCGAGTTGCAAACACTTATGACGTGGATATGTGGATTGTTCAGATTGCACACTACTTAGTCCATGCAGTTTTCCATCTGGTTCAAGCGCAGGGTCATATATCTAGTCTAGCCCTTTAGCTATGCTGACTTGTTTTAAAGCAACAAGCTGGCGTCTATGATTGACAGCTTGGCTGCTTTCTGAAGGCTCCCCGCAGCAAAGGCAGAGAGGCTCAGCGCGGTCCAAGCATCGCGCGATGGACTTGCGGAAAGAAGCCTCCTGAGACTTGATGGTGCGATCTAGTCGCACCAGAGGAGCTCCAAAAAACTTGACTGTGGCTATTGCGCCCACGGCTGCATATCCGGCCATCACCAAGCATAGCAAAGGCGAAATACTGTACACAACTCCCAGAAATCCAGAAAGCTTGAGGACGTTCTCAAAGACGTCCCGGATCATCAAGACAAGCATATCTGCGAAGTGACCAGCTTCCACAGCTATCCGCATGTCAGGATCTGGCACGTCAGATGCGTGCCGCAGCCAGTATACCACCTTTGGATGGAAATAGTCTCTGAGCAGTCCATCGGTAAGCGCATCCCGCCAAACAATTGTAAGACCGCCTGCAGCAAACTCGGCTACGGATCGCATGGGCATCGTTGCGGCAAGCAGAACCATGGCAAGCCCGAGCTTCTTGAAGAAGAGGTCTCCGTTCTTCTGGGACAAGGCTGTCATGTAGTCTCGCTGCGCAAAGGACTGGGCCACTGCTGCTGTATTTGCCAGAGCTAAGGCGAGAAAAAGAAGGAAAAGAAGAAACAGCGAGCTCCGGGTGCGGGTCCGCCCAAAGCTCAAGCGAGCAGCAATGCGGAATGCGGCGGAAAGGCCACCGGCATCGGAAGATCTATGCGAAAATGGAGCGGCCTTTCTCCTGAAAACATGGCACAACACCGGCCAATGTCTCTACAATGCTACAAGCATGGCTGCACCAACTGCAGGCGAGTTGCCTTCTACTCGCAGCCACAAGCAGAGGAAGACCCATTGCCAGCAGCGCAGCAATGGCGAAGAGCCCGGTCGGAATCGCAACAGACTGATTGGCAAGCGGCAAGGCCAGCATCTGCTGACGCAAGCCATGGCCTGCGGCTTTCGGCGAGCCAGCTCTTGATGAGCTGGCTGAACCCATCACTCCATGTGACCACCTCAAACACGCTGGACTGCTTGCAAGCATAAGCATAAGGTCATCACCATGATGGGCGCTGCAACAGCAAAGGAAGAGGACATCGCTCAGGAAGCGCCAGAAAAAAGTCCTTCTATGCATACAGGGTGCACCTGACTGGCATACATGCAACAGTATGCGACCAGTTAAACACTAGACATTCCATGATGTCTTGATGCAGCCTTCTTTTCGTGTCTGTGGCAGAAGTGCAAGCTCTGACTACAGCCGATCTCCGGGGTTCAACTCCACTTCTCCACGCCAAACTAGGAGCTGCCTGAAATTGGTGCTATGCAGTGTCTGAGTGCAGCGCAGTCGCCAATATCAGCAAAACGGGTACTAACTGAAGGTGGCTCCGCCTGCGAAGCAACGCAGTTGCACTGTCGTTTGGCATCGTTCCCAGCCCTGACGGGCTCCTCCAGGCACGGGTAGACTTTCTCGAAGACTGCCGCGCAGCAGCCATGACCATTAAAAAAAAACTACAGGAAAAACACAAAAGCTGCAACATCCTCACGCCTCACAGGCTTCCAACGCTTGCAGTATGCGCACAGAAGGAGTCACCACAAAATGAAAGGCATTCCCAGCAAGCTTTTGTAATCGCTGCTAATCGATACGCTCACGAAGCTAGCGACCATCTGGAATTGGCCATGACATCCATTGAAAGGCCAGGATCTGATGAGGGCATGTCGCTTCTATTATCTTGCAAATAGAGTGGACCTGTAATTCGTATCCTTGCCCTAACACCTCCTACTGATGCCAGCACAGGGCCTGGCGCAATAATGGATGAAACAAACGGTTGGTCCAAAGTATGTCTGCCAGCTCAGGGATTCCATCTGTCAGGCTGGCACATTGCTGCAAGCGCAGAACCTGTTCCTGGGCTAGCATGTTTAAACCGGGCCTAGCTGGTCTTGTGGCACTTGCAAGCTTCTGTCAGACATGCCACGCTCGCAGCACATGAATGTTTCGCTGCAACGCTTCCTAGGGCTATTGGCTATTGGTAGAAACAGCTGCACCGGATCTTCGGTGCTCCGCACCAAAGGAAAATCGAAGGCAGAAAGCGAATCTATTTTGAGGCATTCTGTGCCCTACGCTTTGCCAGAGGCCGTGCCAGCGGCTTCGCCAGCGGCTTCCCCCTCTCCATCCTTTGAACTCTCAGAATCTACGAGCGATGCCAGGCCTGAAGTGCATGACGCATGCATCCCAATATTGATACTAATAGTAGTAGAAGGAGAAGTAATAGCAGTACTACTACTACTACTACTACTGCTGCTGCTACTACTACTACTACTACTACTACTACTACTACTACAACTCCTACTAGTACTACTGCTACTACTGCTACCACTACTACCACTACTACTACTACCTACCACCACCACCACCACCACCACCACCACCACCACCACGACTACTACTACTACTACTATTACTACGTGTTCCGTACCTATCTGACGCCACATCATTCCGAAGCTTCGTCAAGAATGGCAAATGACGCTAGGCGCAAATCCATGGGTATTTGCAGTATTTCCTGGCTGTCCAACCACGAAAACCTACCATGGAGACCTGGGTGCCGAAGCGGACAAAACACACAACAAACACAGGCATGACGATCATACGCATGACGGTTGCAACAAGATATCCTGATATGATTTCACAATCTGACCAAGCCTCTGATATACCGATATTTACAGTATTTCATGTCTTTGAAGCACAATGTTGACAACACCAATGGTTGTCATGATGACTGCAAGCAGCTGTGAGCGTCAAAATGTTCTGTCCATTTTCGGACCCTTCCAGCTGCAGTTTTTGAAGGTTCACAAGGGGACCCGTCTCGCGCAACTTTTAGACCTGTGGGGGGACCATCCCATGAAGCCTCTCATCTACTGCTTTTTACAGCATTTCAGTGCTCTTGGTGAAAATGCTTTTGTTCACAATACTGGTTGTCATGGTGAATCACGGCAATTTTGCCACGCCAAATTTGATGGTGTTTTTTGGGAACCCCTTCTGCTAATAGGTTTTCAAAGCTAGTATGGTACAGTTTTTAGGGTAAGTATGGGGACCCTTCTTGCTAATATCATTTTAGAGCAAGTAGCGGCTGTACGTGGGATTTTTGGGGTTAAAATTTTCAGGGCAAGCATCGGTGTCGTCTTTGTATTTGTCCGGGTAAGAGTTGAAGATTCTTGGATGCCTCACACAACGCATGGATGTCATCTTTGCATTTTTGGCTAAAAGGGGAAGAGTCTAGAGTGCCTCAAGCGAAGCATCTGGTCTTTGTGAGTTGTCTTTGAGGGCTGACGGGCCACAGGCAGGAGACGTGCCATAGCTATGCTGCGGAGCTCATCCGATGCGTGAAGGCACAGCTGTGAGATGCTGCGAACACGCTGCACTCGGTTCTCTTTGGCAGCACGGCCAGCATTTCCCAGCTGCGCTTTCAAGCGTCTGATAAACTCCGCACCATGGCTACGCACGTCTCACTTCTACTACTACCTCTTCTTCTTCTTCTACTGCTGCTGCTACTGCCACGACACGTACTGGTACTACCACTACTACTACTACTACTACTACTACTACTACTAGGCATACTTTATGTATTTCACGACTCTCTTTTGTGTGCTTCTTTG